GGCAATTATTGATTCCATAAATTTTCGCACTATGGAAGTAAGGCTTATTGGTCTATAGTTCAAAGCTAAGGACCGGGTCACCGCCTTGTAAATAGGTTTTACACTTGCCATTTTCCACTTTTTCAGGCACTATGCCAGTTTGTAGTGATATGTTAAAAAGATTAGCCAAAGGTATGCTAAGTTCCTCTTTATATTCCTTTAAACACCTTGCAAACAGTTCTTTCAGGGACTGGGGATTTGTTAGGTTTAGTTTCTCTATTTGTCTGAGGATCATGTCATTAGTTACCCACAATCGTGCAAAGTTTATTATCGTCCTGTGCTACTAATCTATTATTTCAGGAATATCGCTAATTTTTTCCCTGGGTGAAAACTGAGGGGAAGTAGGTATTGAGAATTTCACACATATCCTTATCACTGTCAATGATCTGACCAGAGTTACTCTTAACCCTATTTAACAGACATAATTTTATTTTAGCCTAATCCAACTAAATATATTTTAGATACGTTTACAATAATTTAATACTAAACAAACACAACGAAATATATTTTTTTCGTTGGGTTCAGAATGATATTGGCGAAATTATTGCATGCACAAATTTTCACTTGTCTTATATGGCAAGTGAGCGTTGCTATTTAACCCCAAGATCGCAAGTTCTGCCTATTCGGCACCACATAAATATTTTATATATAATATATTAATATAAAATATATATATTATAAAATATATATATATAATATATAATATATATATATATATATATATATAAAATATAATATATATAATATATATATAATATATATATATATATAAATATATAAATATAATATATATAAATATATATAAAAATTATATAATATATATATAATATATATAATTTTAAAATAATATATATAATATATATAAATATATAATATATATATAATATTAAATAATATAATATATATATAATATATATATATATAAATTTTAATATATATATATATATATAATATATAAATATATATATATAAAAATATATAAATAATATTATATATATAAATATATATATTTATATTATATATATATATATTATAATATATATATATATATTATATATTATTAAAAATATATATATATATATATATAAAATATATATTATAATATATATATATTATAATATAAATATATATATAAAAATAATATATATAATATTAAAAATATATATATAAATATATTATATATATATATATATATATATATGTCGGGGCCGAATATGTAAAACTGGTCAATTACAAGAACTCATTTAAAATTAAGTCCTTTCTGAAATTTTCTTTTATACGTTTAAAGATAAAATTTTTTCTTTAAATGTTAATGCAAAAATTTATAATTTTGCACCAAAAGAATCTTAGAAAACTTACCTAACCTTATTATAAAAAGAACAATTTTTTTTAAAGCCTAACCCAACTAAATATATTTAGATTTGTTTACAATAATTTAATACTAAAACAAACACAGTGAAATAAAATTTTTTTCGTTAAGTTCAGAATGATTTTGGCAAAATTTATTGCATACACAAATTTTCACTTGTCCTATATGGCAAGATAAACGTTGCTATTTAAGCCAAGATCGCAAGTTCGCCTATTCGGCACGACATATTATATAATATATATATATATATATATATATATATATAATATATTATATATATATATATATATTCACCTATTTCTTAAAGATACACCATTAATAATGAAGGACTGAAATAATTTTCACAACAAGCATAAAAGAATGATTGTTTTACAAGCTCATATAATTTTTTTTTTGAAGTATCCCAAATATTTTTATTTTTGTATGGGGGTAAAGACCAATATTTTCCTAAATGTCAAAAACTTATAAACTATGAGCCACCTTGCTGTAATTTATTTTTCCTTATTTGCTTTTTGGCCGATCATATGGAAACTTCGTCACATTATAATTGATATACGATTCTTAAAGTAAACCAAAAATAAAAGAAATCGGATGAAAAATAGAAAATCATAGCCAATTTTTTTTCAACTGCCCCTAAGGCAGTACTTGCCATGAAAAATGTACTGATTTTACTATACAATAAAAATTTGGTTTGCCTGTGCAAGGCACTGAAAAAAACTAATATAAACCTTGCTCTCAAGAACAGTGGCACAGAGGTTGATTAAAAACACATTGTCTAATAAGGTTGGTGGTGTTTACAAAGTTCCATGCACTCTGTGCCCTCTCTCATATATTGGTCAAACAGGTAAACCCCTGGAACCAGATTAGCCCCCAACACCAGTACTAAATAAAGACGAGCCAGGAGTTTTTAATGATATATTTAACCATGTCAGTTCTTGTAATCACCCACCGGGGTGGCTTTCTGCCCCAAAACATTGTACCAACAGTTCCATCATGGAAAGAAACGTAATTGAAACCACCCCCCTGAAAAAATGATACGAACACTATATATAAGGCAAATTTTGGGTTGTACAAACTCGATAGCTATTTATGGAGTCTGTTGAGCACAACCTTAGACAGGATTGCTCTAATGTCATGGGGTCCTGTGATACTCTGATGCGTTCAACTAGTGTGTGAGCACCAAACATCAATTACATCCGTTGTGAATGGTGGCATATTATATATCCCATTTAGCAGTTACTTTATCGTACGTTTACAGGTACACTAGGTTAAGTGGTTGCAATCAATGATGGCTACATGAGAGATATGATGATACATAAATATTAATAGTAAATGGGCAAGTGGGTTTATTCAGGTAGGGATGCACATGGATACGGTTACAATGTTTATTGTACATAGTGGTACATGTGTGGGTATCCTGGGATAGCCTGAGGGAGGCAGATAGAGTGATTAGTTTTCAATGGGATCCAAATCCCAACTAGATTATAACTAGCCCAGTGGATTCCAGTGTTATTCTGGTAGTGGTGTTAAAGGAAGTTTCACAAATAATACAGGCATATTAATCTATACTGAAAATATTGGAAGGCAGTCTTTAGAAATATATGATATACTTCCGAGTATTTCCCCTCGTCTACCAGATCTCGGCCCCTCAAGGAAGGTTCCTTGATGTTGGTGAGGGGCTCTTGATTTAGGGAATTGGATCTGTGCTCCAGTTCCCCGAATTAGGCCTGAATGCCTTCCACATCCCCCCCCCAGGCGCTGTATCATCCTCCGGGTTTAGCGCTTCCCCCTTGATTATAATAATAATAATACCAGATCTCGGGTGGGGCGGGAATGGTGGTGGTGGGTGGCAAAAGGACCGGTGCCTCTCAGGTTCTGAGAGAAGATGAAACCACAAAACAAGTGATTTTGAATCATTAACAAAACTGCGGCTAGTCAGGATTCGATCCTGCGTCACCATGCCCAGCCCTGTGAGAACAGGAATCAGGAGTTATAAAATGTAGGAAGAGTAGCAACTGAAGAAGTGAGGGGAAGTTTTCTCAGAGTATGGTAGCCTGAGGTGACGCCAGCCCCAGCTTCTCTCTGAACATGAGAGGCACCGGTCTTATCGCCACCCACCACCACCCTCCCCGCCCCGTCAATTGAATTTAGTTATATTACACATCAGTGAAATATACTTATATCGTTCGCTCTGATTTTCGGAAAGTAATTTCCACAAAAAATATTACTTAAGCTTGTTTGGCAAAATGGTTGTATGCTAGAAAGATCTGACTTATGATTTCTTAAACATACTCCTGATGGTTTCATTGCTTGTACCAACAGGCAGCAGAAACTGTATATGCCTATCAGTTTCATCACTTGTATTACCAGGCAGAAGGCACAATGTATATTCGTTGTTGTTTCATTACCGTATATGCTTATTGTTTTATTGTTTGTATCAATGTGTAGCAGGAACTGTACAGTGTAAGCTCATCAGTATTATAACTTGTATTACCGGACATTAGGAGCAGTATTCCTCATCCTCATATCAGACATAGATAGAGATGTAATCCACAGCATCATGTCATCCTTTGCAGACGATACTAGAATCTGCATGAGACTGTCATCTGTTGAGGACACGGTTAACCTCCAAGTTTTCCAATGGGCAACGGAAAACAATATGATGTTCAATGAGGACAAATTCCAACTACTCCGTTATGGAAAACTGGAGGAGATAATAACTAGAACTGAGTATACTACAAACTCTGATTATACAATAGTGCGGAAAAATAATGTGAGGGACCTGGGAGTGGTAATGTCTGAGGATCTCACTTTCAAGGATCACAACAGTGCCACGATCACAACTGCAAAGAAAATGATAGGATGGATAATGAGAACGTTCAAAACAAGAGATGCCAAGGCAATGATGATCCTTTTCAAATCACTTGTTCTCTCTAGGCTGGAATACTGTTGTACATTAACATCTCCGTTCAAAGCATATGAAATTGCAGATCTAGATAATGTGCAAAGAACCTTTACTGCACATATAAGTTCCATCAAACACCTCAACTACTGGAAACGCTTGGAAGCACTTGACTTGTACTCGATGGAACGCAGGCGAGAGAGAGATATCATAATCTACGCTTGGAATATCCTAGAAGGAATGGTCCCGAATGTGCACACAGAAATCACTCCCTACGAAAGTAAAAGACTGGGAAGGCGCTTCTAAATACCCCCAATGAAAAGTAGGGGCACCATTGGTACACTAAGAGAAAACGCCATAAGTGTCCGGGGCCCAAGACTGTTCAACAGCCTCCCACCAAGCACAAGGGGAATTACCAATAGGCCCCTGGCTACCTTCAAGAGAGAGCTGGACAGATACTTAAAGTCGGCGCCGGATCAGCCGGGCTGTGGTTCGTACATTGGCCTACGTGTGGACAGCAATAACAGCCTGGTTGATTAGGCCCTGATCCACCGGGAGGTCTTGTCCTGGACCGAGCCGCGGGGGCGTTGATCCCCGGAATACCCTCCAGGTAGATATATTCATCTTAGTTTTATTACTTATATCATGTACTGTATATACACATTACAGGTTTATTACTTGTGTCAACAGGCAGCCGGTACCGTATGCGAGTGATCAGTAATGCTATACTCAGCTGTCCAATCACAGTGGCTGTTGATCAACACTTACTAACTCTCATCGCATCAGATGGATGGCCAATAATACCTATTACTGTAAAATCCTTCGTTATTTATACAGGTTAGTGGTAACTATTTCTGTGTTGTGGGTTAAATTTATGTGGAACTTTACCAAGATTGTATTTTATACATTTGCTCAGCTGCTTAAAACTGAGTTCTTCTGAAGGGATCTGAGACCGAATCCCAGAAGAGGTGAGACTTATGGGCAAGCTTCTTGTACACCGCTGCTAGTATTTACCAAGGACTGGAGGTACTAGCAGAATCACATTAATAGCTTTACATGTTCCAAGTTTACTATAGGAAGTAATTTAATTTCCATACTATATTCTTTTGTTTTTTTTCGTGGAAATAAAGTACAGCAATAAAGCGAAATAACAAAGTCCAACCAATAAGTCGGAAGATCATTCATATTTTAAAAAAAACACCAAATTTGGCACATATATTCTTTGACACATGTTGAAACATTAATGAAAAGGGTTTGAAGGCCTGAGCTTGTTACCACCCGCAGCTCACAAGACTGCCATCCCCACGAGCCCCTTTGGGGCGGGGCAGATGGCAGACCAGAGGCCTAGCTTCTCCCTACGAGCCCCGTGAGGGCGGGGAATGTGGCTAGGCCTGGAGACAGTTGGTCCCAAAGATGAGGGGGTACTTGTACCTCCTCCCATGGGAGACTTAAGTCTCGAGACACTCCCCAGATAGGGAGCCAAGGCCGGGTCACCACTACTTGGAAAAGACCCGGGCCGGGAGAATACCGGCGAATAAAAAAAAAAAATTAATGAAATCACGAAACAAGTGATTCTGAGTCATTAACAAAACTGTGGCTGGCCGAGGCTCGATCCAGTGCCACCTTGTCCAGCCCCATGGTAAGCCACACAGTGTTCACGACAATAATACACCATTGATCCTACAGACAACATGAGCCAACCCAACATAACGAAACACAAGTAATTAATCATCACTAGCACTTAAATATACTTCCGAGTAGTAATGCTCGTTAATCTTGATCACCAAAGTTGCCAATTATGGCGCAAAAGAATAATTCACAAGTTTTACATTCAAGAAACATTGTTCTGGTATTGGTTTTATAGGAACTGATTTGACTGGCTATTCTTTCTACAATATATTTTACCGAAAGCTTTAAACCTCTCATAAAAATAATTTTGTTACTAATTCTTCCCCAATAACAAAAAAAAATATTTTTTTGCCAATAATTATTTTTGCCAAATTTTATTACAAAAAATTAAATATTGGGTTACCTGTGTTTAGACTTTGAGTTGAATATTAGCCCTAACTTATCTATATTAAACAACTGGAAGGTTACTTACTAACTACATCAGTAAAGGAATATACATTGGCTTATTAAGCCAATGACTACATATATGTTATGATAAATGCAATGTTTTCACAATTAATTATAAATGCAATGGAAGGATTTTCAGGAGAACACAATCTGGAATTAACTTCCAGCAACATTCGAGGAGAACACCAGATACATAAAACATATTGTAACTTATTGAAGTTGATGTATCCTGGAGTGCTTGTGGGACTTTAGGATTACTGGATTGGTAAACAATGTACCTCCTTCGATGTCCACTGTCTCAAGCTCCCCGACTAGCTCCAGGACCCTGGATTAGGAACATATGGTTTACGTACATTTATGAAAATTTACACCAGTAAGACTGACTATTAAGTGGACTGTACATTTACGAGGAATTTAATTGGACTTATTTAAGTATTTTGTTTTGTCTACAAGTTTATAATTATTAATCCTGACGCCACCCACAGTAAGATTACCTAGAAAACTGACCAACATCTAGCAGCCTTACCTGTTGTGTGGGGTTTAATACACACTGGGAGGTGAACAGTAGTTACTGGAGAGCTGAAGCAGTAGAGAGGCAACATGGCGTCATCCACCTACCGGGTACTATTTTCCTTCCATACCTTCCTTATTCTCCTGTTTCTTTATATATCTGGATCCTTCCAGTTGTATTTACACTTATTTTGTACAAAAATCGTCGATATTTCTATGGGTCACTGTAATTCCGAGAAACATTTGTGAACTCTCCAGCTCGTGTTATACCAGCACCTCCATCTTGGTTTCTCGATCTCCTTCCTTGTACACATACGTATATTTATTCAAATTTAGTGATATTTCTGGGTGTGTAATACATTTTCCTTATCAATATTACAATAATTACACTTTACTTAATAAACTTACTACATTAAGTAAGAAAATTAAAGAGAATTTGTTGATTCCCTGTGACTTATCACCTTTTAAACTTCACATTAACATTTCTCAACTGCATTATTTTTAACAAATTATCAATTATGGAACTTTTCCACAGGAGTTATAAAGACTGTCTTAATACAATAGCAACAAATTATCCTGTAAAAACATTAAAGACCTAAATAGCACAAAAAATATAAATGAGTACCTAGAGTTACCTGGGGTTTACCTGGAGAGGGTTTCGGGGGTCAATGCCCCCGCGGCCCGGTCTGAGACCAGGCCTCATGGTGGATCAGGGTCTGATCAACCAGGCTGTTGCTGCTGGCCGCACGCAAACTGACGTACGAACCACAGCCCGGTCGGTCAGGTACTGCCTTTAGGTGCCTGTCCAGTGCCTTCTTATGACACCCAGAGGTCTATTGGTTATACCTCTTATGTATGCTGAGAGGCAATTGAACAGTCTTGGGCCCCGGACACTTATTGTGTTGTCTCTCAGTGTACCCGTGGCGCCCCTGCTTTTCATCGGGGGGATGTTGCATCTCCTGCTGAGTCTTTTGCTTTCATATGGAGTGATTTTCATGTACAGGTTTGGTACCAATCCCACCAGGACCTTCCAAGTCTATATTACCATGTATCTCTCTCGCCTGCGTTCCAGGGAATACAGATCAAGGACCTTCAACCGTTCCCAGTAGTTTAGGTGCCTTATCGCACTTATGTGTGCCGTGAAAGTTCTTTGTAGACTCTCCAGGTCTGCAGTGTAGCTAGCCTTGAAGGGGGCAGTTAGTGTACAGCAGTATTCCAGCCTAGATAGCACAAGCGATTTGAAGAGAATCATGGGCTTGGCGTCCCTAGTTTTGAAGGTTCTCATTATTCATCCTATAATTTTCCTAGCAGATGAGGTAGATACATTGTTGTGGTCTCTGAAGGTTAGATCCTCTAACAATATCGCTCCCAGGTCCTTCACATTTCTTTTCCGCTCTACTGTATGGTTAGAATTTGTGGTATACACTGACACATTTTTAATTTCTTCAAGTTTTCCATATCTGAGAAGCTGAAATTTCTCCTCGTAGAACTTCATATTGTTCTGAGCGGCCCATTCAAAGATTTGGTTGATGTCCACTTAGAGTCTCGCATTGTCTTCGATGGAGGTCACTGTCATGGTGATCCGGATGTCATCCGCAAAGGAAGATATCTCTATGCCAGAAATGAGGATGAGGAATAGAAAGGTAGCGAGTGCTGTGCCTTATTTAACAGATCTTTTTACCATGGCTGGCTGGGACTTTACTCTGTTTACTATTACTCTCTGTGTTCTATTTATCAGGAAGTTGTAGATCCATCTACCAGCTTTTCTCGTTATTCCTTTATACCGCATTTTGTGTGCTATTGCACCATGGTCACACTTGTCAAAGGCTTTTGCAAAGTCTATGTATACTGCATCTGTATTTTGTTTATTCTTTACAGCATCCAGGACCTTGTCATAGTGGTCCAGTAGCTGGGACAGGCAGGAGCGACCTTCTCTAAACCCGTGTTGCCCTGGGTTGTGTAACTGATGGGTATCTAGGTGGTTGGCTATCTTGCTTCTTAGAAGCCTCTCAAAGATTTTTTATGATATGGGATGTCAGTGCTATCGGTCTGTAGTTCTTTGCAATTGCTTTACTGCCACCTTTGTGGAGTGTGGCTATGTCTGTTGTTTTTAGTGTGTGCGGGATGACCCCTGTGTCCATGCTTCCTCTTAATAAAATTCTGAAGGCACGCGATAAGGATTTCTTGCAGTTCTTGATGAACACGGAGTTCCACGAGTCTGGGCCTGGGGCAGGGTACAGATTCTGGGTTTCGTTAATTAAGAATTCATTTAGATTGTCGACCCTTAGAGTGGGCAGTGGATTGCTGAACACTGAGTCATATCTCACTCATTGCTTGACTGTCGTCTGTGTATGTTCCATCTCGCCTAAGCAGGGGCCCAATACTGGATGTTGTTTTTCCCTTAGATTTGGCATAAGAGAAGAAGTATTTTGTTTTTTGTTTTTTTAATTTCCTTTATGGCTTTTAGTTCTTCCTGTGATTCTTGTCTCCTATAAGATTCCTTCAGCTTAGTACTTCCCTTCGTATTTCAGATATATTGACGCCACTCAGCAGCTCTGTGACTCTTCGCCTTTGTCTGTATAGGAAACGTCTCTCTCTCTCTAGTTTAAATCTTCTCTTTCTTTTTCTTAATGGAATGTATCTTGAGCAGATCTCAAGAGCCACAGAATTCATTTTTTCAAGGCAGATGTTCGGGTCCGTGTTGTTTAGGATATCTTCCCAGCTTGTTTCTTTTAGGACATGGTTTGCTTGATCCCATTGTATGTTTTTGTTATTGAAATTGAATTTCGTGAAGAGACCTTCATGACTGCTCACATTTTACTGATCTGGAGCCCTGTACATACATGTCTGTACCTCTATTATGTTGTGATCTGAGTGAATTGTCTTTGATACAGTTATATTACGTATCAGATCATCATTGTTAGTGAAGATAAGGTCCAGCGTATTTGCTAGTCTTGTAGACTCTAATATTTGCTGGTTTAAGGTGAATATGTTGCAGAGATTTAATAGTTCGTGTGTGTGTGAATTTTCATCTGAGCTTCCTCCTGGGGTGATCTCTAAAACATTATTTACTATACTCCTCCATTTTAGGTGTCTCAGGTTGAAATCTCCTAGTAGTAAGATGTTTGGGGCAGGAGTTGGGAGATTTTCCAGACAGTGGTCAATTTTCTCAAGCTGCTCCTGGAATTGCCGGGAAGTTGCATCTGGAGGCTTGTATACTACCACAATGATAACGTTTTGGTTTTCTATCTTTACCGCAGGAACTTCAACTACATCATTTGAGGTGTTTAGTAGTTCTGTGCAACCGAGCAAACATTTTGATCAGAATTAAAAATTGCAACAAATTTCAGTAAAACTAAAAAACAAAAAAAAAAAAATTCTCTTAAGCAATCATATAAATTTTTTATTAAAAATCAAGCCAATCAGTTTTTATTTGATATCCGTTGTTCATTACCTTGGAATTAACATTTTAACTATTTTTCCACAGAGTAAAATATATGTCGGAAGCTGTTGTGTACTCAAATACATCTACATAGCTAATATAGCAGGAGGTTTACCATAGATGACTATTTTCTGTTGCTGTGTTGTCATCACACAATACAAACTTAAGTCTAGGCCATTTAATGACTCTGAGAAGTTTGTTTTCTCTGTCAGAAACCTCGAAGATATAAATGGCTCAGAAAGTAGATTAACTCTCGAAGCTCTTCGAAGGCAAAGGTACATCAAAGGCTATTGCTAAAATTAAATCTTACAGAACTGCAAAACACAGTAAATGCTGTGATCGCTATATATCTCATAAGTTTTGGTGATAGTAGTGGCACTGTGAAAAAAATATTAGCAAAGCTAGCTATTTCGTTTTTTCTGAGACTAGAATGGAGACCAAAAGCAAATATTTGATGAATAAGTCAGAGGAAAATCCTAAGAAAACAAAGTCAACTATCTAATTCATAAGATCTTTAAGCTATGCTTCCGAGTATATTCCCAAGTACTTATTTTGTGGAAAGTCTGCTGGGCCACAGGACCGAGATGCACTGATAACATTGATAGTCATGTATGAGAATGTACATTAATTGTTCCTGACAATAAATTACTAGGTAAACTAGCGTTGCCTGATATACATGCTTTAAGAGGCGCAGTGTGACAGAAACTGCTTGACACATCTGTACAATAGACTACAACGAGGTTCTGCCACTGTAACCTTATACAAGCACTGGTCAATGAGGTTCTGTCATTGCAACACCACAGACACTGGTCAACGAGATTCTGTCATTGTTACCTCACATAGACACTGGTCAATGAGGTTCTGTCATTGTAACCTCACAGAGACAATGGTCAACGAGATTCTGCCATTGTAACCTCACAGAGATACTGGTCAACGAGGTTCTGTCATTGTGACCTTACAGAGACAATGGTCAACGAGGTTGAGTCATCGAAACCTTACAGAGACACTGGTCAACGAGGTTCTGTCATTGTAACCTCACAGAAACACTGGTCAACGAGGTTTTGTAATTGTGACCTTACAGTGACACTGGTCAACGAGGTTCTGTCATCGTAACCTTTCAGTGACACTGGTCAACGAGGTTCTGTCATTGTAGCCTCACAGAGACATTGGTCAACGAGGTTCTGTCATTGCGCCCTATCAGTGACACAAGTCAACGAGGATCTGTCATTGTTATCTCACAGAGACACTGGTCAACGAGGTTGTGGCATTGTGGCCTCACAGAGACATTGGTCAACGAGGTTCTGTCATCGAGACCTTTCAGTGACACTGGTCAACGAAATTCTGTCATTGTAACCTCACAGAGACTGGTCAACGAGGTTCTATCATTGTAACCTCACAGAGAGACTGGTCAACGAGGTTCTGGCATTGTAACCTCACAGAGAGACTGGTCAACGAGGTTCTGTCATTGCATCGCCACAGAGAGACCGGTCAACGAGGTTCTGTCATTATAACCTCACAGAGAGACCGGTCAATGAGGTTCTGTCATTGTAACCTCACATAGAGACTGGTCAACGAGGTTCTGTCATTGCATCATCACAGAGAGACTGGTCAATGAGATTCTGTCATTGTAACCTCACAGAGACACTGGTCAACGAAGTTCTGTCTTTGTAACCTCATAGAGACACTGGTCAACGAGGTTCTGTCATTGTAACCTCACAGAGACACTGGTCAACGAGGTTCTGTCATTGTAACCTCACAGAGACACTGGTCAACGAGGTTCTGTCATTGTAACCTCACAGAGACACTGGTCAACGAGTTTCTGTCATTGTATCCTCAAAGAGAGACTGGTCAACGAGGTTCTGTCATTGTAACCTCACAGAGACACTGGTCAACGAGGTTCTGTCATTGTATCCTCAAAGAGACAGTGGTCAACGAGGTTCTGTCATTGTATCCTCAAAGAGACAGTGGTCAACGAGGTTCTGTCATTGTAACCTCACAGAGACAATGGTCAACGAGATTCTGCCATTGTAACCTCACAGAGATACTGGTCAACGAGGTTCTGTCATTGTAACCTCACAGAGACACTGGTCAACGAGGTTCTGTCATTGTAACCTCACAGAGACACTGATCAACGAGGTTCTGTCATTGTACCTCACAGAGACATGTCAACGAGGTTCTGTCATTGTAACCTCACAGAGACAGCTGGTCAACGAGTTTCTGTCATTGTATCCTCAAAGAGACAGTGGTCAACGAGTTTCTGTCATGTATCCTCAAATAGAACAGTGGTCAACGAGGTTCTGTCATTGTATCCTCAAAGAGACAGTGGTCAACGAGGTTCTGTCATTGTATCCTCAAAGAGACAGTGGTCAACGAGGTTCTGTCATTGTATCCTCAAAGAGACAGTGGTCAACGAGGTTCTGTCATTGTATCCTCAAAGAGACAGTGTCAACGAGGTTCTGTCATTGTATCCTCAAGTAGACAGTGGTCAACGATGTTCTGTCATTGGTCCTCAAAGAGAACAGTGGTCAACGAGGTTCTGTCATTGTATCCTCAAAGAGACACTGGTCAACGAGGTTCTGTCATTGTAACCTCACAGAGACACTGGTCAACGAGGTTCTGTCATTGTATCCTCAAAGAGACAGTGGTCAACGAGGTTCTGTCATTGTATCCTCAAAGAGACAGTGGTCAACGAGGTTCTGTCATTGTATCCTCAAAGAGACATGTCAACGAGGTTCTGTCATTGTAACCTCACAGAGACACTGGTCAACGAGGTTCTGTCATTGTAACCTCACAGAGACACTGGTCAACTAGGTTCTGTCATTGTAACCTCACAGAGACACTGGTCAACGAGGTTCTGTCATTGTAAACCTCACAGAGACACTGGTCAACTAGTTCTGTCATTGTAACCTCACAGAGACACTGGTCAACTAGGTTCTGTCATTGTAACCTCACAGAGACACTGGTCAACGAGGTTCTGTCATTGTAACCTCACAGAGACACTGGTCAACGAGGTTCTGTCATTGTAACCTCACAGAGACACTGGTCAACGAGGTTCTGTCATTGTAACCTCACAGAGACACTGTCAACGAGGTTCTGTCATTGTAACCTCACAGAGACACTGGTCAACGAGGTTCTGTCATTGTAACCTCACAGAGACAGTGGTCATTAACAAATGAAACATTGGCAATAGTAGAATTACCAACAAACATTGAAATCACTCTTCCGGTATTCAAGATTGTTGATCAAACAAACGTCAGTAATCGACTGACCAACTTGGAGTGAATGTCCTACATAGTTTGAATTCAACTAGACCAAGATAGGCTATATCTAAGATGTTGGTATAGGTCTAATATATGTTAGTAACAACAAAGATAACTCTGAGATAATGGCGCTAGCAGAGGCTACACATTTAGTTCATAAGTACATGCATTTACGTGATATTATTTTAACGAAGTGTGTTGTATCTTCGAATACATTATGTAAACAATACATCGAGAATGACTGGTTGACGAGTAAATATAATTATTGCCCATTTAAGCAAGATTTTTAAAGTAGTTTGGATATAATAATAATCTCTTAAATCAAACAGCTAACATTTCTTCCAGAGGCTGGAACAATATTGATTTAAATTTTACAAAGAAACTGAACATACATTTACCTAGATCCTTTATCAATAATATATTGATACCAAAATGCATCTTTGTATTTTGCGTTTAAAATTATTAAATAGCAAGTTAATTTAGTCTGGATTAAACTGAGAATCAGAAAATATTAAAGAAATTTGAACCTGTTAATGAACAAAACAACCTCCACGTATTTATTTTTTAAATAACATTAAAAAAATACTTCGATATTAAAACTGTTAGTTCATCCTAAACTTGAGAAAATTTATTTAATGACCAATTGATTTGATGAATGGTTTATAGATCCGACAATGAAGATATGAGACAATGATCAGATTTGGATTTTATTACATGAGTAACGTTTCGCCACGAATCAGGATTCAATCAATCAAAGATGGAACGCATAAAGAAGTAGTAAAATGAAGTAATACAGTCCTCAACCTGGGTCGATGTGTTCAGTCCATCAATCTTGTAGAATGTACATTCTACAAGATTGATGGACTGAACACATCGACTCCAGGTTGAGGGACTGATTACCTCATTCTCCTCCTCTCCTTATGCCTTCCTCTTTGTATTGGACTGATGAAGCCACTGTGTGGCGAAACGTTTCCTGAATAAAGATTCCCATATGCTGCATAAGTGTCTCAATCTTCACCATCCTTATTTAAAAGAGGATACCGTAAAGTGTATCCGTGTCACATTAAACAATTTCTTATTAAAGTTAGCGATATGGGCGAAACTGGGGAGTTATGCCCTGAAATTACAACTCTTCAGCTCATATCATTTCAATGGTGGAACTGAATTTTTTATTTACCATTTAAGTCAGTAATACCTTAATATCACAAGGCAATTAAACACAAAGACTATTATGTGGAATTTCAGGTGAGAAATGGGATTTTGTGCTTCAGGCTGATCACAAGAAATCTGGAGCATTCTGGATGAGCTTCATGGGAGGACTTGATTGTGAAAATTTAAAAGCTCATCAGTTTGCTCTCTTGGTGTATGATGGACATGATGATGTTGATGATCTTACATTACCGAGTAATATGCCGCCCAAGCCTGAGTACACTGTAGTTCCACCTCCTGGATTAGTGAGTATTGTCACTATTATCAGTCTTAAGTCCCAGTTTATAATGAATTATTTAATAATCAGATTAAATGTAAAGTAATAGGAAGGGAGAAAGAAACCATCCAAACAGCTTCTTCTTTACTGTGTTTGAAACAGAAGCATAAAAAGTGTTATATAACCTGGAGGAACGTTCTCACTATCTTCCTGTCCCTTGGTCAGGTATCTCACACTTCTGTGCACATTCAGTGTTCTCATAATCTTTAATTTCATGTAAATGTCTTATTATTTGCCATAAAATATTTGCTTTCCAATTTAACAAGGTTTGTCCAGCATCATAGTGGCAGACATAACCATAGTGGCCGCCATGATCATGGTGGCCACCATGATCATAGTGGCCGCCATGATTATAGTGGCCACCATGATCATAGTGGCCACCATGATCATATTGGCCACCATGATCATAGTGGCCGCCATGATCATATTGGCAGCCATGATCATAGTGGCCGCCATGGTCATAGTGGCCGCCATGATTATAGTGGCCGCCATGGTCATAGTGGCCGCCATGATTATATTGGCCGCCATGATCATAGTGGCCGCCATGATCATAGTGGCCACCATGATTATAGTGGCCACCATGATCATGGCGGCCACCATGATCATGGCGGCCACCATGATCACAGTGGCCACCATGATCATATTGGCAGCCATGATCATAGTGGCCGCCATGATCATATTGGCAGCCATGATCATAGTGGCCGCCATGGTCATAGTGGCCGCCATGGTCATAGTGGCCGCCATGATCATATTGGCCGCCATGATCATATTTGGCCGCCATGATCATATTGGCCGCCATGATCATATTGGCCGCCATGATCATATTGGCCGCCATGATCATATTGGCCGCCATGATCATATTGGCAGCCATGATCATAGTGGCCACCATGATCATATTGGCAGCCATGATCATAGTGGCCGCCATGATCATATTGGCAGCCATGATCATAGTGGCCGCCATGATCATATTGGCAGCCATGATCATAGTGGCCGCCATGATCATATTGGCAGCCATGATTATAGTGACCGCCATGATCATATTGGCAGCCATGATTATAGTGACCGCCATGATCATATTGGCAGCCATGATCGAGGAAACATTAAGAATTAAAATAAAATATTTAGGAGTGTGTAGCTGTTATGGCGTGAGACCTTGTTCACTCTTAATTACTGTACATAGCTATAGTTGCATCTGGCTATAAGATCACTGACAAGAATATAAATGATATAAACTAGGGCCGGATAAGGCTGGCTACAAAGAGAGAGAGGTAGGTAAGCTAACTGGTACTTCCACTTAAGTGGGTCATAAAATTGAATTTCACTTGTTTCAGTGGTTTAATTTCATTTTCTTTGAACGTCTGTGAGTCCATATGTGTTAGGGCATAATTACAGGTGTTATCGAAGAACATTTATCAGTTAATGGAGCTTGTACACTAATTTATTGCGCTGTTCATTTTCATAATCCCTGACAGTATTTCCAGGACAGATTTTCATAGCTGTAAGGAAGCTTATGTAGCAGGTTTGTATGTTTGTGTAGCATGTTTGTATGTTTGTGTAGCATGTTTGTATGTTTGTGTAGCATGTTTGTATGTTTGTGTAGCATGTTTGTATGTTTGTGTAGCATGTTTGTATGTTTGTGTAGCATGTTTGTATGTTGTGTAGCATGTTTGTATGTTTGTGTAGCATGTTTGTATGTTGTGTAGCATGTTTGTATGTTTGTGTAGCATGTTTGTATGTTGTGTAGCATGTTTGTATGTTTGTGTAGCATGTTTGTATGTTGTGTAGCATGTTTGTATGTTTGTGTAGCATGTTTGTATGTTGTGTAGCATGTTTGTATGTTGTGTAGCATGTTTGTATGTTTGTGTAGCATGTTTGTATGTTGTGTAGCATGTTTGTATGTTGTGTAGCATGTTTGTATGTTGTGTAGCATGTTTGTATGTTTGTGTAGCATGTTTGTATGTTGTGTAGCATGTTTGTATGTTGTGTAGCATGTTTGTATGTTGTGTAGCATGTTTGTATGTTGTGTAGCATGTTTGTATGTTTGTGTAGCATGTTTGTATGTTGTGTAGCATGTTTGTATGTTTGTGTAGCATGTTTGTATGTTGTGTAGCATGTTTGTATGTTGTGTAGCATGTTTGTATGTTGTGTAGCATGTTTGTATGTTGTGTAGCATGTTTGTATGTTGTGTAGCATGTTTGTATGTTGTGTAGCATGTTTGTATGTTGTGTAGCATGTTTGTATGTTGTGTAGCATGTTTGTATGTTGTGTAGCATGTTTGTATGTTTGTTGTAGCATGTTTGTATGTTGTGTAGCATGTTTGTATGTTGTGTAGCATGTTTGTATGTTTGTGTAGCATGTTTGTATGTTGTGTAGCATGTTTGTATGTTGTGTAGCATGTTTGTATGTTGTGTAGCATGTTTGTATGTTGTGTAGCATGTTTGTATGTTGTGTAGCATGTTTGTATGTTGTGTAGCATGTTTGTATGTTTGTGTAGCATGTTTGTATGTTGTGTAGCATGTTTGTATGTTTGTGTAGCATGTTTGTATGTTGTGTAGCATGTTTGTATGTTGTGTAGCATGTTTGTATGTTTGTGTAGCATGTTTGTATGTTGTGTAGCATGTTTGTATGTTGTGTAGCATGTTTGTATGTTGTGTAGCATGTTTGTATGTTGTGTAGCATGTTTGTATGTTGTGTAGCATGTTTGTATGTTTGTGTGTAGCATGTTTGTATGTTGTGTAGCATGTTTGTATGTTGTGTTAGCATGTTTGTATGTTTGTGTAGCATGTTTGTTATGTTGTGTAGCATGTTTGTATGTTGTGTAGCATGTTTGTATGTTGTGTAGCATGTTTGTATGTTTGTGTAGCATGTTTGTATGTTATGTAGCATGTTTGTATGTTGTGTAGCATGTTTGTATGTTTGTGTAGCATGTTTGTATGTTGTGTAGCATGTTTGTATGTTTGTGTAGCATGTTTGTATGTTGTGTAGCATGTTTGTATGTTTGTGTAGCATGTTTGTATGTTGTGTAGCATGTTTGTATGTTTGTGTAGCATGTTTGTATGTTTGTGTAGCATGTTTGTATGTTTTGTAGCATGTTTGTATGTTTGTGTAGCATGTTTGTATGTTGTGTAGCATGTTTGTATGTTTGTGTAGCATGTTTGTATGTTTGTGTAGCATGTTTGTATGTTGTGTAGCATGTTTGTATGTTTGTGTAGCATGTTTGTATGTTGTGTAGCATGTTTGTATGTTTGTGTAGCATGTTTGTATGTTGTGTAGCATGTTTGTATGTTGTGTAGCATGTTTGTATGTTGTGTAGCATGTTTGTATGTTGTGTAGCATGTTTGTATGTTTGTTGTAGCATGTTTGTATGTTGTGTAGCATGTTTGTATGTTGTGTAGCATGTTTGTATGTTGTGTAGCATGTTTGTATGTTGTGTAGCATGTTTGTATGTTGTGTAGCATGTTTGTATGTTTGTGTAGCATGTTTGTATGTTGTGTAGCATGTTTGTATGTTGTGTAGCATGTTTGTATGTTGTGTAGCATGTTTGTATGTTGTGTAGCATGTTTGTATGTTGTGTAGCATATGTGTTTGTATGTTGTGTAGCATGTTTGTATGTTGTGTAGCATGTTTGTATGTTGTGTAGCATGTTTGTATGTTGTGTAGCATGTTTGTATGTTGTGTAGCATGTTTGTATGTTGTGTAGCATGTTTGTATGTTGTGTAGCATGTTTGTATGTTGTGTAGCATGTTTGTATGTTGTGTAGCATGTTTGTATGTTGTGTAGCATGTTTGTATGTTGTGTAGCATGTTTGTATGTTGTGTAGCATGTTTGTATGTTGTGTAGCATGTTTGTATGTTGTGTAGCATGTTTGTATGTTGTGTAGCATGTTTGTATGTGTGTTAGCATGTTTGTATGTTGTGTAGCATGTTTGTATGTAGTGTAGCATGTTTGTATGTTTGTGTAGCATGTTTGTATGTTGTGTAGCATGTTTGTATGTTGTGTAGCATGTTTGTATGTAGTGTAGCATGTTTGTATGTTAGTGTAGCATGTTTGTATGTAGTGTAGCATGTTTGTATGTTGTGTAGCATGTTTGTATGTTGTGTAGCATGTTTGTATGTTGTGTAGCATGTTTGTATGCTTGTGTAGCATGTTTGTATGTTGTGTAGCATGTTTGTATGCTTGTGTAGCATGTTTGTATGTTGTGTAGCATGTTTGTATGTAGTGTAGCATGTTTGTATGTAGTGTAGCATGTTTGTATGTAGTGTAGCATGTTTGTATGTAGTGTAGCATGTTTGTATGTAGTGTAGCATGTTTGTATGTAGTGTAGCATGTTTGTATGTAGTGTAGCATGTTTGTATGTAGTGTAGCATGTTTGTATGTAGTGTAGCATGTTTGTATGTAGTGTAGCATGTTTGTATGTAGTGTAGCATGTTTGTATGTAGTGTGTAGCATGTTTGTATGTAGTGTAGCATGTTTGTATGTAGTGTAGCATGTTTGTATCCACTAAGTACGTCAATCCATGTATTGTCTGAGAACTTTATCTCTAGAAGATTATTCTCACGGAATACTTCGTTGACTATTGAACTGATTGTTTCTTGGTGTACTGCGCTGTGGAGTTAAGGATAGGTTATGTATGTTGGATAATTTTTGCTTAGTTTATTGGAATTGCAGCTACTCAGCCAGCTTCTTGGGTGATTTTTATTTTTTTTATTGCTTTTATTATTTTATTTTTTAGTTTATACCTGAAGTCTGGTTATTGCTGCATAAGTGACGTTACTGCTTAAATTTTTCTTGGTTTCTTTCTTGTTTTCACTTAATAGTTCTTTACTTATGGGACATTTAACTCCGAATAAAAAAAGTTGGAGCCTCCTTTTAACAGTCTTTTAAGGTGTCCATTGTTATCACATTAAGTGATTATTGTAATACAAGTTCCAACTTGGTGTATGATGGTGATAAAGGTTTTCTGCTGTG